AATTAGTGAGCTCACGAGTGAGTACTATCATCATCGGTTGCCTAACATCCTGATGCGTGCGTGCCTTATTCCGACTTTCGCCTGGCGCGGCAGCCAAATAAAAAGCCGGACAGGCCGGACATCTGTTTTTTTGGCCGGACACGCAATCAAAAAGCCTATGTCCGGCTTTATCCGGACGCCTGGCAACCCTATATGGGAGCAGCACGGGAGGGGTGACATGGACATGTTATGACGCGACAGAGCATACAAATCTGAAGCATAACTGAAGTCTCGCTGACGTTTGACATTACAACAACACCCTCGCGTGCCGCTTCCATAACTCAGGCACGGACTGAATTAACCGCTAGATCTATAGTTATTTATCNGTAACATTGTACCCCGTGTAACATTGTGCCCCACCTTACCCTAAAATTTCCCTTCGAAATGACATCAATGGTATGATTACCGTTACTAGATCGTAATTGGTTTGATGTAATGACTGGACTATTTAAAAATATCAAGATTATGTGTAATAAAGTGGACTTCCGAATTTTCTACTTGTTTCATTATTCACCTAAGCCTCTATGTACACACGCCCACACTGTTAACTATTTATTTCCGTTTTTGCTCTCGCTCCAATCAAATGGCGATTCTTTGCGATAAAACGAGATGACATGACTTTCAATGAGCAGTTAACACTGTTGGCGATAGTACGTACACGTTAGGTAATTATTCCCAGAAGAAGCAACTTAAATACTTTTTCACGACACGATTTTGGCACGGAAAAAGTTAAACACCAATCAAGATTTTTATAGGTCAGTCAGTGCCCTAGGTCTGGGGGCGGCACGGAGGGGTGACATGGACATGTTATGACGCCACAGAGCATACAAATCTGAAGCATATCTGACGTCTTTCTGACGCTTGACATCTCAACAACACCCTCGCGTGCCGCTTCCATAACTCAGCCACGGACTGAGTTAACCGCTAGATCTATAGTTATTTTTTTCTGTAGCATTACGATGACGAAAACATTTGAATTAATAAAGGTTTTATATGTAAACGCGGTTTTAGTTTTCTGGGTGTTCATGCGTCATGGACATAGACATAAATGTTCTAGCCGCGCGAAAAACTAACGATCTTCATGAAGTTGTTAAAGAAAAGTGGCCACTCTTAGCGAGATAATGAATGCGGCAAACAACCTGAAGTGGTAATCACAACATCTGCTTATCTTAAAGCACTCGTTTGATCTATTATTTAATGACACATTGTTGTATTGTCCCGACATTCACAGTAGAACGCCCACCGAAAACGGTTCTACTTTGCATCATATTGGCAGTTCTTGGACCATGTATGTATCTTTTCATTAGTGTATTGTTATTAAATTATACAATGTCAAGTGCTTACATTATCGTCTGTAAAATTATTTCTAATATTTTAAACCATTGTTGAAAAAAAGACAATTAAATCATATACAGGATGTTACTTTGTTAGGTGCTCAACTGAAAAGGATTGATTGTAGATCTAGATACTGCTCAGGTGAAATAACTTTTCCCAAGGCACCGGGGTTGAAATATTTCCAAACAAACCTTCCTATCAAATTGTCATCAGCAATGAGTCAATTAGTATGGCGGAGGTCAATGTATTTTTGAGCATCTAGATATTGGTCCTGGAAAAGTTGTATTTAACTAGAATCAACACTTAGTTTGAGCATCTACCAAAAAAACACCCTGTATTTTTTTCTGCTCTTTGCCATTATTATTATTATCTGTCACTAGTTAAGAACTTAATAATATTCAAAGTAGCAAAAGCAACCAGCAGTAGGTACGTTTTTAAATCCAGAATTCCTTATCATTTTACAAAACTTGTAGTTGATCAATATGCGTTTGATCACGGCGCTGCTTCTATACGCCGCAGCGGCGTGGGCCGGGCCTTTAGACGTGAGGGTAGAATCGGGGCCGCGCGATGTGAGGGTAGAGTCCGGAGCCCGCTCAGCCGCTGATTGGTGGCAGACCGCGCTAGTGTATCAGATCTACCCTCGATCTTTTAAGGACAGCGACGGTGATGGCATTGGTGATTTGAATGGTAAGTTGCGATCAATTTCATAGTTAACAAAAATTTAATTAGAGTGGAGGAGACTGGGTACGGTTGTAACAACTCGACTGTTGCTCGGTAGGTGAGGGGTACAAAGGGAAAGGCATAGAGATGACAAGACAAATAAGGCTCTATGGACCTGTCCCCGCATGCCCTTGCCCTTGAACCCCTCACCTACCGAGCATTGTTCGATAACATTCGAGTCTACCCTACCTACTTAAAAACGCTTTAGTTGTGTAATTATAATAAAAAAGTGCTCTTCATCTGCGTTATGTAAACAAAGGCGCTATGGAGCGTGAAAAAACGGAATATTCGTTTTCCTAAACTATACAGGGTGTTAGGTAAATGGGTATATGAGCCGACACTAGCCCATATTAACATATGCATATAAATGGTATGGTGAAGTCAGAAAATTGATATCATCATTTTAATTTTCATACAAATCTGATTTTATCAATTTTATTTTGTATGAACATTTGAAAAATTTACCTAACACCCTGTGTATTGTCAAATAACATTGTGCTTTCTTCAAATGTAACATTAAACTTTCCTCCCAGGAATAACGGAGAAGCTGCCCTACCTGAAAGACACAGGGGTAGACGCGATCTGGATGTCTCCCATCTTCCTGTCGCCGATGTACGACTTTGGCTACGACATCACCGACTACCGCCAGATCGCGCCCGAGTACGGGACTATGGACGACTTCGACAACCTCTTGGCGACGGCTAAGGAAATCGGTGAGTATTTATAAATTTCAAAATCCAGCTAAATGTTGGGTAGATTAAAGCTTCAACCACACCAACGCGTGCAGATCGCCATCGCTGGCGCGATCATAGGCCAATGACAGGTCGCGCGGACTGTCATGGGTCGCGCGACCTGTCATTGGCCTATGATCGCGACAGCGATGGCGATCTGCACGCGTTGGTGTGGTT